ACGAGTTCCATAAAAACGGTAACTATTAGGCTCATTTCCGATTAAACCAAAGTGCAAAAAAGTGAAAATATTGTAAAATATTTTTTTTAATGCTGACACATCTCGTCGGTATGCTACTGTAATGTTCATTTGGATTATTCGTCTTATTGATTAGACGCTCAAGTAAGTGATTCAAGCTTTTCTTCTCACAAGTTTAAAGTTTGTCAATTAAACGATTGAAAAAAATAGCTTTCAAAACGTGTTAGACGTCATTTTTCTTTAATAAAAAATGGTTTTAAAATTATTACAACTGTCAAATTAAAAAGTTATAGATAAATCGTGAAAAAACTCTCGTTACAGTTTTAAGTGAAAAAGTATTATTTTCATTACGTTTGATAGTTTAAAAAATTAAATATGTATATTTTTTAATAAATTTGGTGCAAAGAAATTTGAATTTATATATTAACAATTAATCTTGGAGTTTATTGCATTCTTTGCAGACAATTTTTTGCTCACTACAAATTAGTTCTGGATTATCTTTAATCCATGATAAAACCAAAGATGTTTTCTCATTCAGAACTTTTTTGAACGCTCACACTGTTAATAAGGCGCTTATAGATACGACAGAATGAATAATAATTTATCTCGATCCCTTTGCTAAGTACCTACATACCAATCTCCACTTTTACGACATTTCTGTGAGGAGCCCATTCGTCGTCGTTGCCACCGTTGTAAAACTTCTAACATAACCATCCGAACATGTCCTAAATGCAACAGACCACCTCCGAAAGAGGGAAACTCGAGGTTGTGTCAGTAGATCGTCGGTTAGTTGACCCAAATCGCGTGATTATTACTAGAATATTTGCTACAACAATTTCCTGGTGATAAAAGACCTTATTTAGAAATTTCGGTAGAAAGATTTTAGGATTAAGTATTAGATTCCGGTGCACAGTGACTTGTCTAGATAGTGAATGACCAGGTTTGAGAGTAGGAAATGTCGAGTTATGTAAAAGTATGGGGTCAGTATCAGTCCCGATCAGTGTTAGGGAAAGTTTCTTTGATTAGAGTCGTAGTAGTTCCATCCTTTTGGAAAACTTTAATTCTGGGATAAATTTTGGGTGAAAATGGGCATAGTACCCGACTTGAAGAAAGGTGTTTGGCATTTTAGTGAGTCCCCCAATGAAATTTTGCCAGCTGAGGGAATTCGAGAGAGGTAATTTGACCTGTGAACAACGTGCATCGTTAGACTCTCTTATACGAGATAAGATCAGAAGTATGACACCGGATAAAATAAGAATTACCGGAAAGGTTGAACATGAGATAGTAGAATCCACTACCCCCATCAAACAGAGGTACTACCCAGTGAACTCATTAAGACAAAAATTATTGGAGACAGAGTTGGACAAAATGTTGTAACAGGACATTGTTAAACCTTCCAACAGTTCGTGGTCGTTACCGCCTGTGTTGGTTCCAAAGAAGACGTCCGGGGAATATAAGTTGGTGATTGATTATATTATCGGAAACTGAATGCGGTTACTCGAAAAGACACTTACCCGTTGCCCTATGTTTCATCTATTTTGGATAACTTGAGAGGTGCTAGGTACTTGAGTTTCATCGACATCAAATCAGCATATTGGCACATTCCACTTAACGAAAATTCAAGAGAGTTTACAGCGTTTACGATACGGGGACGTGGCTTATTTCATTTCAAGCGAATGCCATTCGGACTTACTAATGCCCCGGCTACTTTTCAGAGTTTCGTCGATACAATTCTCGGTGCTGATCTTGAGCCTCATGTTGTTGTCTATTTAGGCGATATGATTGTGTTGACTTCAGATTTTGAAACACACTTAGGGTGGGTTTTTCCAAAATGTAGTTAACCTCTGGTTTCGTAACTTTTAGTTAACTTTAACTCCAAGTTAACTAGCAGTTAATTTTGAATGCGTTTTTCCAACAAATTTGTAAATTTGGTTAGAAAACTAACAGTTAACTATGATTTATATTTGGTATCTATGGCAACGTTTCACAAATCTGTTGTTTATTGTGATAAATGTCATTCAAATTCTTCTGGTGTGATTATTTTGTACAAAAATGAGTAACACAGAGAAAACAAAGCGGTGTTCTAACTTTACGAAAGAAGAGGAAAGGATTTTGACCGAATTGGTTGATAAAAATAGAAATATAATTGAATGCAAAAAAGTGGCCAGGTAACATGGGAGCAGAAGGCAAATACCTGGCGTACCATTCCAGATGAATTCAATTCCACTGTTGGGGGGTAATTTAAAGGGGTCCAAATTTTAAAATGCAAATACGTTAATTTAAAAAAAAAAGTTGCAAACGTTTATCTTTGTAAGAATTCTTTTCTATCCCATTTTTCAAAATGGTTTATACGTTCCCTTAAAACTCTTTGTTTTCGTACAGGCACCTCCTCATCGTCGCTATAAACGTTAATATCGACGAAATCCATCATTTTACTGATGACAGTATTATAAAATCAAACGTCAAAATATGAAACTACTAGTTAACTGATACTTTGAGTTCTGGTTAAATGAAATTAGAAGTTAACTTTAAACCGTTAGTTAACGAAAATGGAAAAACGCTGCAGGCCTAGTTAACTGTGAGTTAGGTTAAACCACAAGTTAACTAGAGATGGAAAAACCCACCCTAAGAGGTATTGGACAGATTGTTAGCTGCTGGTTTAACCCTTAGCTTGGAGAAATGTCATTTTTGTCGCCCACAGTTAAAATACCTGGCGTATGTTGTTGAAAAAGAAGGTCTTCGTGTAGCCCCTTTTAGATCAAATCGATAGTAGAAATCCCCACTCCCGACGAATGTGACACAGATTCGCTCATTGTTGGGTATGGCTGCATGGTATCGGAAATTCGTGCCGAATGTCTCTAGCATTGTAGTTCCGTTGACGAATCTCAGTCTCCAGTTTTGACATGTCCCGATTATAATCGCCCATTTGTGGTGCAGACTGACGGCTCCGCATATGGTCTTGTTGCCCTCTTGGTACAGCCTTATGATGAAGGAGATAAGGTGATATGTTATATCTCCTGTTCATTAACATATTAACATTAATAATAATAATCATTTATTGTTCTACAGATTACTCCAATTACAGGACAATATCTAAAACTAAATAAAATAAAACAAAATTAAACATATCTAAATAAATGTAAATAAATAAATTCAAATTATATAAATCAGATCAAACTATATTACATAAAAATTAACAAAGAAATTCTCAATTATTCAAAACAATTTCATCAACTTAAGAGATTATCACTTTTACTCTTTACAGTACACCATTAAATATCACCGTACATTTACAAATTATTGCGCGAAGATTTTCTGCATATATGTCACATTGTTCACAAATATCATTACCATTTTTGCAAATAACATACAACGGTGATTTGTAATGCCCACCCTATTTGATTGTTTACGATACGAAGTAAAATATTGATTTTTTCTTTTTTAAAATATTTTATATGTATACACAAATAATTATCGTCATAAACATCATTTAAGCCAACGGATTTTCTTCATTACATCCCGCAGTTTCCGCAACTGAGAAATTGCAGTTGCAAAAGAGTGCGTCAGATCTCGGCGTTATACGGTTCATGTGAGGATGGGCTAGTCCACCCTGGTCCATTCTCTTGATTATAAGCAACGACATACGTTCGGTTTTCTATGTACGTGATTGAGAGTAAAGAATTCGAAACGCACTTCTTTGCATATCCGTGTTTTCTTGCTTCAAGCGGGGCAGGAAGCCCGGGCGTCAACGTATATCCCAAACGCTGCAGAATCGGATCTCTGATATTCGATTCAAGGATTCAATAAATTAATTTCGATTTTTTTACTTCTTTTGTATTGTAAAAGTATAGAGGTAATTATTTTTATTACTCTATTGAAATATGGGTAAGGTGGTAAGGAAAATAATGTTATGCGAAAATTCTTAAATAATATTGTTATAGAAAAGAGCAACACCATAACAATTAATAAATACTTTTTCATATCAAATGAAAATTTGTAATAACCATATTCTTGTATTATGACACCGTGTAAACTTTATAATGAATTATAAATTTAAAAATCCGAATAACCAATGATGAGAATAAGTAATACACTTATTATTGCAGTACGTATGTGACATGTGTATTTTTTTATTATTACATATGCATTTTTGTTTCATAAATATAACTGTAGCAGAGTCAACAAAAGTTAAATATACGCTAAATTTTTTATTTAATTCAGACTGTCCGCACAAGTTTGTTACGCGTTCGCTCTAGGATGGGTGGGCAAACCCACCCTGAAAATCGGTAACACTCGGCTTGGTTCGTCCTCGTCGGAGACACGACTCAATTGACCAGTAAAGTAAGGTTAGAATTTAGAATGCGCGGCAGTTCATAATTCAAAAATTCTACTATGGGTTTCTTATGGGAGCTTGATTTTACAGACAAAATACACCGCACAGGTAGAAATCTTAACTAGTTCATGCTACAAGCGATAAAGACTGTACAATTATCTTCCTGTTACTAAAGGTTTAACTATATAAAATGCTTGTGTTAAAAAAATATCGCAAATTAAAAACAACGTTGTTCATCAAAGTAACGTACATCGTTTCTAATGCCTTGCGCATGAGTGAAACGGAAAATCCAGAAACACGCCGAACAGAAAAGGAACGCGAATGTTTTGGAGGGCCAGTGACGTTTAGATCGTGAAAATCCCCAAAATATGACAGTTGATTTCGTATTTTCATCACAACAAACAATCATAATCACAATTTTTGGATGATATATTAGTTCTGTGATATTGGTTCACATTAGGTTGTATATGTCTGTGGACTGGTTTTATTGTATTTGTTATTAATAGTGACAGAAAGACATGCGTTAACAATAGGGGCAATTACCAGTTTTTTTTTTGTTGACGATCGGAAATGCATTGTGAACGGATAAAATTCTTTGCAGTCAAATAATGCAGTGAAAGTCACTTGGTATACTGAATTAAATGTGATTGAAGAGTTTATTCGAGCTAGAATGCGAAATAGCCAATGGTAAGTTAATGTATATTGATAAATTCTGTATCCAGTACAATTATGAGGTATTTTGTTTCATTTTGCATAGATATTCCTTAAGAGAGGCAACAAGTGAAACCACAAGAGGTGCATTTGTATGTCACCATATGGCTACACCTGCCCTACACGGGCGTTATAATTTATTTTGGACCAATAATTTGCGTTCTTGGAACGTACATCTGAAGAAAAGTGAATCAGCCGAGGTCAGAGCTGTGATCTCCGAAAATTCTTTTAATCCCCAAGTCAACCTAAAAACAGCTAATGTTGAGGTACAACTTTATGAAAGCTTACGACAAACTGATGGGAGCGAAGCACTGCTTTGGCTATTGGGCCCTGAACCAGAAAGATCTGAAGAAAATCTACTTCACAGTGTCGAAGAACTATTAGTGTCCGAGGACTATTTAAATGGCCCATCAATATAACAGTTTGTGGGTCAGTTTTTCACCAAAAGTGAATCAGATTTTGCATTAGGCGGTGCAATTTTTTATTGTAGAATATATTTTTTTTGTTTTGAAATAAATTGGTCTTTAAATTGTGATTTTTTTTAAATGGGTGTTTCAGACCCAATTCGTACTAAAATGAAAGTAAAATTTTCATTTTCTACCAAAAAATGTGAAAAGAAAAAAGCTTGGGATTGATGATGATTCTTAAATCAAAATTTGGCAATTGATTGAAAACATTTGCAAATATGAGATCTCCTTTATGTATCATTTTAAATTCACAGCCGTATCTCTAGCTTGTGAAAATCAAAGCCATTTATGTGGAGGGGGAAGTCAATGGCAGTATGAACCACTGTGCGACATACGTTCGAGGCAAATGTAGTGGTAAAAGTTGAATTCAAATATTTATTAAATACCACCGGTTCCGTTCGTGTTTGGTATCAAGATCAACAGTAAAAATATGAGTCTTAATGGTACAAGTAGTGGTATATATAAGAAAATTACTTTAATGGTAGAATTTAAGCGTTAAAATGACGCCTCGATTTCACCCATAAGGATTACACGGGGAATTGAAATTCGGGTCTCGTGTTATGAACTGAGTTCAAATTTCGCGCGTCATTCACTTTACTGGTCAATTGAATTCAGTCAGATCAGAAACTGCATTCAGGATAGTGCATTTAATTATAAAATGTAGCTTATTCAAATAACCAAACGGTAATTGGCTCCACAAAAACATATATTTCGGGGACAAGATGAATTGCAAATTTCTCGTAAAGTAAATTCGATGATAAATTTAAAATGTTTTTGGAGGAGTCTTTGGTAATTAATGGTCTTTCTAAAACCAATCAGAACGATTATTTTGGAATTATTTTTATTTTATTTGTTATTGTTAACTTTGTTAGTATTTTGAGAATTTATTTTTTTGTTTCATTTGGCATTTTTAATTTTGCTTTTACAATAATTTTCCAAATTGCTGCTTTTTCCAAGTGTAGCTTATTTTAAAGGTTCAAAATTTAACGTTTTCTCGTCATGTTATTTCAAAATCTTTACATCTTGGAATAATTATTTGAGTTTATAGTTCTAGAAACTCCTAACAAATCCATTTATGTGCTGAATCTTTTTTTGCTCCTCTTTCCTCTTCTAGCAAGAATCTTCGACGTTCTGGTTGGTTCTTGCTGAACGACATTGTAAGTAATATTTATAAAATAATATATATGTAATATACTTACATAAAATTTTTGTTACATTATATTGATTGACATGCAGCACCAAAACAAAAACACGTTCTCACAAAGATGATTAATTATATATATGTATATATATTTTTTTCATACATGTTATAACCTACCTATAATGCTTTGCCCACCCATCAAAAATCACCACGAGCCGCCACTGAACATTAGTATGACATCGAGGCAATTGGAAATAGATGGGATGTCAAGAATTTAGTCGGGGCACAAAAAATTGATTTGATTTAAGGTTGCCATATCATCAATGGCGCCCTGAATTAATTTATAAAGAAATACTACTGACTGCGTGATTCTTCGTTATCTTAAAGATCCCATATTAAAATAAATTAACAATAAATTTTGCTCAATATGACGCACAGGATACTGAGAATAGCTCTTATAATACAAAAACTTTAAAAATCGTCTTTGTACATTCTCCAACAAAATAGATTGGTAAGCATAATGCGGATAAAATATTAGTGAACAATATTCAAGTTTTTACCGCACAAGTGCGTCATATATACATTTCAATGCAAACACATTGTCGAAAGATTTACAGTTCCGTATTATGAAGCCAAGAACTGTAAGTGCAGAAATGACGATTTTATTAATATGTTCTCGAAAACTAAGTTTCTTGTCAAAAATTACTCCTCAACTATTTCAGATCTCAACATAACCTTATCATAAACAATGAAATCATGGTGAAGTTCATAGATTAACCTCACCAGCCTATCCGGTCTAGGACAAGTAGATCGTCCCCGGAGAAAGCCAAGAACGCCTCGGCGTACAGATAAGTAGTACTAGGGTAGAAAACTATCGTTTCGAGTATTAGATTGGCCAATCAAATAGCGGAAAGTAGCGCCTCCGATGTACTACCGATTCCAGGAAATCCTGTTGATTAACCCTATTTGGATAGCTGTACCTACTTAACCCAAATTCGTGTCGTTCATTTCATTGTATCATGTTATAATTTATTTAAGTTCACTCCACCGTTTTATTTAAGCTCGCAGTGTAAATCTTTTTATTTCCAAATTAAACCGCTTTTATTCTATTTTAACTTGAGCAGTGTTTTTTTGAGTTGTCGTCTGGTCACGACCTTCGCCACGAAGCGATCAGTAGGTGACGAGGTCCAGGTAGTGAAGTTAATTTAGTTTTAGTCATACGTCTGCCTTCGGAGTCGTCGTTTGCTAAGAGCTAGAGTTACAGGCAGAAATCTTGACAGGCAGTGGCGCCGCTCCCGATAGCTACGTCATTTGGACTTCGACCCACCCCTTCTCCATCTGTAGCTAGTCCGGTCGCCTGTCTCTTCCAACCGACGAACCTGGTGCACCATCCACCTTGGCTACCTAACACAGTAGCTTGTGCGACAAACTCGTTCAAATCAAACTATAGTCTTTGCCATTTCTATTGAAACACCACTTGTTAATCGTAAATTTGGCAACGCTCATATTCAAATAATTTTCTAACTAAAAGCCGTTGTCAATCAACTGAAAGCTGTTACCAATTGCTAAATTTTAAGCAAAATCAACAGGTGGTGTTTCAATAGAACTGGCAAAGACAATATCTAATTTCTACGTGACATTCTTATGATGTATAAACATATAATAGCTATTTATATACTCAATACAAAAAAGAAAAAAAATCCGAACACCTTGAAACCCGCATATTGAAGCAACTGTAAAAGCATGTTTAAAAAATCTAGGTTTTATAATAAGAAACACCAGTGAATTTAAAAATATCCATTGCATTAAATTGTGGTTTTACACATTAATAAGATCTAAGTTAGAATATTGTAGTACTATACGGTCACCCTATCACCAGGTTTATATTACTATGTTAGAAAATGTATTGCGGAAATTTTGCAAATATTTGCACTTAAAAATATTTCATTTGTATCCCCCTTTTCATTGTAAACTGTTATTTTATGCAGTGCAGTTAATGAAGACCAACTATGGGCCCGTAGAAAAGTTGCATCTCTAATTTTTTTACAAAAACTTATTCATGGCCAAATAAACTGCCCAGTGCTTTTAGATTTATTACATTTTGTCTGCCCAAGAACAAATAATCGAACATCAATAACTTATTATTTTGATATTCCGCGAACACAACAGTGGCGGCTCGTGACTGTCTGATGTGGTGAGGCGATGATAGAAGTTTGACAATAATAGTAATATTACTTGGTCTTACTAGTTAGTAATGATATATGTCTTGCCTGAATACCGGTCATTCCCGGGTCAGTGGTAGGTCATAATATTAATAATAATAATAACACCCATAACACATCGAATCAACAATGTTTTTACAAGTCAAAATTTTGTTGAAAGTAGCACTTTCTTGGAGAGATTCGGGAATAGTTGTAGTGTTCTTTTCTAAACGTTTTAAGCCCATGAAATTTTTAATGTGTACTTTGGAACTTTGATGGAACTTTGCACTTCGGATGAAATTCTTTAAATCGTTATATCCCGGGATGTTGTGTAAATATTACGGCAGAGCCATTTATATGTTTCATAGGTACCAAGTTGATTTAAATGACTTGGAGTACTGACGATAATATCGCTTATCAATGGAAGTTAAATGAATTAACGGTTTTGACTGCTCGATATTTAGCAAAATTTGCCGACGTTCTAGCTCGGTTCGCCGTGAAAACGGCGTTTCAAGAAACAACATGACGATGTCGTACTCGGGATTCATTTTTCACTCACCTGTACCTATGAAAGAGACAATAACACAAAACACCAACACGTGGGTTTTTATTCACGTTCATGCTAATTACCCACGCACCCCGCAACCCTTCCGTTCTGTAAAATAAATGGAAAAATGGTTTAATGAGTACGCCGAAATTGACCGAGAAGCACCGAAGATATCGCCTCAGTTCCGAGCGAACGCATGTATAGGAGTATAGGAGCTGAGCCATCGAAATCCGTGTCTGTGATTGGGCTTCGCTGGTTCAAGTGAACCGACGTTCTGGCCGCTTCAGTTAAAGAACTACGGGCATAAATCGTACGGTATTCAACGGAAAATGTCAGCAGGAAGCGTAAAAAATAAAAAATCATATACAGATTTCCCATTTCAACATATTTTTGTAACTAATGCATTGAAAACTCTTTTTTAATTATAAATTAAGTCAATCTGTTCTTAAGATATTATGCTGTGAGGCGCCGCCTCACTTGCCTCATCTGACGAGCCGCCACTGGAACACAACATCATTTCAACAGTCCACTAATAACTACTCTTAGGCTTTATAATATCAGTGTAGGAAAAGTTGTAGACATATTTTATGATAACTTCCGTAAAGTTAACATAAGGAAAAAATTATTTGCGATTTTGTATAATGACCATATGATGCACGCTTAATTAGAGGGTTGTGTACCACCCTGTTGTATTTTTTTTATTTTTTGTTGTACATTCGTCATACATAGCATTTATTAATAATTAGTTACATGTTATTATAGTGAATTCTAATTTGTATTTAAGTTCCGCTATAGACTGTAAGTCTGGAAGGAAATATATATTATTATTATTATTATTAAAAAACGTCGATATTTTTAAATGAAATTTTATACACGAATTGGTTGTTACATAAGTAAAGAATGATGAGCATATGAAGACAATATATATCAAGTTGCAAAATGAACGCTTTTTTCGCTCCAGACGTGAAGTTTCTCACAGTTTTGCAACGTGTCATATACAAGATTTTTTGCAATTTTGAACAACTAAAGGTTAATATATAGTTATTTAAGTATTAAGGGTGGTAAGCGCGTTTTACAGTTTGAGGGGTATTATATCGATACAGTACTGGAGGCGATTGCAGTTCCTTAACTCAGAGGGTTAGATCGACCCCTATGTCAGCAAGACAATGCACGCCTACCAGAGCTGTTCAAAGTACTCAAAAAAAGTACTTGAAGTACCAAGTACAAAGTACTACTTGAAATAGTGTTCAAGTAAAGTACCAAGTACTTACTTTCAGCAAGAGTATTTCAAGTATCAAGTACTTTTCAAATGTACTTGAAGTACAAGTCAAGTACATTTCTTCAAGTACTTACGAGTACTTGAAGTACTGGAGGTATACTTCAAGTACTTACAAATACTTGAAGTACTGAAAATGCTTCAAGTACTTTCTAATTATTTGAAATACTGTAGAATTACATAACTTTTCCTGTTTTTTTAAAAAAGCTTAACATAATTTAAAACTGAATTTTTTAATATTCAGAATTTAAGTATACAATAATACATATTTCGCCACATAAAAAATTGCATACGCATCAACTTAAATGCAGAATGGTAGCTCACTTATTAATAATACTATGTTATTTATAAACAATATTCTTTTGAAATACTTTTACATCTTTCTGTTGACACAATGCCTTCGACAAAATTAACGTCTATTTCTAATTTAAAATTTAAAATAAAATACATGACGGCGTTGTCTATGTATGCTTACTGTTAATTTATAACAAAAACATGGGCGCTGTATGGTATTTTCTCAGGCTTCTGTTGCCTTTTTTTAATATTTTGAATTTTGGTTCACCACCAAAACGTTCTGATTTTTTAATAAAGTTGTGTTAAAAATAATGAATTTTATGAACCGGTTCCGTGTTTAAGTTTGTGGGTAGTTTACAGCACCCATTACCAGTAGCGGCTCGTGGTCTTTTCGTTAGGTGAGGCAACAATTTCGTTTCAAAATCAGCAGGTATTAATTAACATGTTGGCAATTACTTTTATTAAAAGACAGATTGTTTATTCGTTTTTATGAAAACAATACAAATAGCTTTGAGTCAGTAACATATCTCTATTCTATACGGGTACACTTCTCGAATAAAAAACATTTAATTGCTTCACACAAACCAACGAGAAGGTTAAAAGACTACAGAATTTGCTTTCTTAGCATTAAATATTAATTCATATGATTTAGGGCTAATTTAAATATATTAATCAATTAATTAATAAAGTTCTCCTCAAATCTGGATGAGAGGTTCTAAATCTTTGACATACAATTGTTCGTCGTAAGAAAACCGTGCTTAAATATTTAAACTTTATAAGAAATTCTGGAGATTATAGATTCTTATGTTGCTATCAGCATTGCAAAACTGACATTTTCATTGTCCTACTATGTTCAAGTTAACTTAAAAGTTTTAATACATAACCTTGTCAATGCACATGCTGTGAACACCTTTCCTTGCGTCTAATTAATGCACAACTAAATGCATTCAGCATCCCTGTTCAGCATTGTGCAGTTTCACCGTGAGATTAAAAAATCCGATCTGATTGGCTTAAGGACGGTAGGCGTTGGTGCCTCCGCTGGCGCTTTGATAAAGCACTGATGACTATTGTCTTACTCAAAAACATATTAGCACCACTGACTAATCATACTGAAGATATCCGTCTATCTGAGGCATGCCTCCGTCTGAAGCTGGCCTACACGGCGGTGATCAGCGCTTATTCTTGTCGAAAGCGCGTACTTCAAAATATGTTACCAAGACGCGTTTTAATAAATCACAGTGTTCCATAAAAGTTATTTGCTATATCTTTAAAATATATTTGAAGTTAACAGATATTAAAACAAAAACTAATAGTCAATTTTTCCAGGGGAGGCACTGCCTCCCCTGCCTCCCCTGACGAGCCGCCACTGCCCATTACCCATTGTGAAAGTGCACAGGGCCGGATTTGTGAAACTGAAATTTTTCAGAAAAAAATTTTAAGAGCAGTGCGATACATATACATGCTCATGACATAAAAATGTTTAAGTCACTATGTTGCATTTTCAAAAAAAACGTATGAATTTTTTAAATAAAAAATAAAATGCCTAAAACGAGAGTCTATTTTCAGCGAAAACTATAACTCTTGAAAAATATCAAGGTGATCAAAGTAATTAGTCGTTTTTTACTTTTGCGGTTACCAAAAATGCTGAGAATTTTCTTGGAATGAATGCCCCATATTCCTGAATATATCTGTCTACCACTTAGGTACGTATTTACTATTCTAAAAATTATTAAATTAACCTAACTACTACAGTGACTAAATAGTAAACACTAATCACTACAATGTTTGTCTAACTAAGTATGTAACTTTACACTGACAAATCACAAATAATAGGTTCGTAATGCTGTTCCGTCCATTTATACAAAATTTTGTTCCTCTAATGCCACAATACTTTCAAAATTTTACTTTACATTTTCGATTGGCTTATTTTTTATATTTACCTGAAAACCCAAAGAAGATGACATTAGTAACTGATAACTACAATGACTTCAGGGAATGCCTAACAACGGCTTTTGCGAAAATTCAGGTAAATATGTACTAAATTTATTATTGTTAAAATATTTCGTAGGGGTGTATTTATCTAGGCAATTATACTAACTAAATAATCGCGAATTTCATTAACTTTGTATTTTTTTATAATGTGCATATGTATTTTGTTCCATTTACGGAAGCGACCACTGACCCTTTTGGGTATCTTTACCTGATATTGCAAATACAAATGTAAATTCAGTACTTCTGTAATCGTCCTGTATTTAAACATCGAAACCAAAGGCTGTCTATTATTTCGCACACAACAAAACAAAGGTCCTTCGAGCAATATCAAAGTACAATTCGGTACTCATCAAAACCATACAATCATGGTCGTATCAACTGGATTACAAAAAACATTGGTACTACGAGCCGAGTTTCACAAAACATATTTCATTTTGAACAATATTGGATTTATGTAATAAGCGATGCAATGTAATACATAAAGTTGTTGTACGGTAATAAATAAAATCCGCACAGGAAAGATAAATGACACTAATTAGTGTGACTTTTAAAATAATTGTTTTTCTGCATTACGTCTTTTTAAATTGTTGGTGTTCAAATAATTCATACAATTTAACAGATTATTTGAAACTGTAATGTGAGAAAATATAAGCAGTAATAACGAACTAAGTTCATATGGCTGAACCATGTATAAACAAAAAAAGAAAATTTGGTAAAAAACGAGTGTCTAACATGATAAAGAAAATTAAACTGCAAAATATTTAACATAAAATTGTGTTTAAATTCTACGAGGAAGAGGCGAATATGAAAGTCTGTACCTGCCATCAGCTATTGCTATTATAATAATAAAAGGGATAATCCCCTGCCGAGTTCTCCGCCCTGACCAGGCTTCTTACTGACAAATACACGGCGGGGTTAAGAAACTAATGAAAGAATAAATATCTTTTTGCACGAGTACTGAATCATTTCTCAAATATTTTCAAATCCGACCTTGCACTTTAGCAGGTACGTCAACAAACCCGATTCCCTTTGGGGTACCGGGAAGGTACTGAAAAACTACCCGCAAAGTTAAGTTCCAGACCAAATACAAAAAAGACAAAATTCATATATTCACAACTTTACATCGCTGAAAATTTTACACAGATCTCCGACCCTTATGCTGTCGTCATCCACTCTCAAATGACATATTTATGACATTAATTTTCTTACCTACCTATCTATCGGCGTTATGCAAGTAGCTATGGAATGTATGTCATATTGTGGATAAGATATCCACAATCACAGATCAAAATATAACCTCACAGGAAACAAACACGATTTTACTATAAAAATACATCTAATCAAATAATTGAATTAATAACTTCAAGTATTTAACAGACCCTATTTTGAGATGTGAAAACTTCGTAAAATAGAGACTAAAGTATTTGAAATTTCCATTTTCATACTTCAAGTAATTCAAGAGTATTTAAAATACTGAGTGAAGTACTTGGAGTAAAGTACTTGGCAAAATCAAGTACTAAACTCAAGTACATTTTAGAAATACTCCAAGTACCAAGTACCTAAATATAAAAGTACTTCAAGTAAAGTACTTGAAGTACTTAAAGTACTTGAAGTATTACTTCAAGTACTTTTACTTGAAGTACTGAACAGCTCTGACGCCTACATACGGCAAGTCACAACGGAGTACCTACAACAACATAATGTTGAAGTTCTCTCCTGCCCTGCTCGTTCACCAGATTTGTCACCAGTCGAACATGTGTGGGATATCATGGGCACACGTCTAGGTAACTTGCAGCATATCCCGAATAATTTAAATGACCTTCGTATGCGCCTTCAGAAAGCTTGGGACGAGATCCCATTGGATACAGGACACATTTCAATCATGCCACACATTATTAAATAAATTTTTTATTTCACAAGTTTTAGGCCTGTTATTTTAATCATTTATTTAGTTCGATTTAAAGCACATTTGGTGAAACTTTCAGTTTTATCAGTCAATTAATTCAAGGTGTTCGGATTTTCATGGAAATCAGTATAGTATTCAATTGGTTAGATATACATCTCAAGTATGTATAGTAAAAGCGTATTGTGTGATAAGTAACACAATTACGGCGATTCGCAAAATACACTCAAAATGCAAGTATAAAAACACCAATCTGAATAGAATAAAATCATTAAGCGAAATGTTCCGATTTGCCGTTCTTTGCTTGTGTGCGTCAGCTACCTGGGCGTTGCCCTCTTCACCAGCCCACTCAAAGGTCCTCCCCTCTAAGGTTCCAGGTCAGTATTTTCTAACCTGTATTGCACATCTATGTTTTTATAATTATTTTATATAGGTGCTAGAATTATTAATGGAAATCAAGCAGCAGAAGGTCAATTTCCTTGGCAAGTTGCTTTATTTTTGTCTAGTAGTGAAAGCACTTGGTTCTGTGGAGGCAGCATAATCAGCGAAGAATGGATCTTAACTTCTGGAAATTGCATCAACGGGTAATACATAGCGTACTTTATCCAAAATCATTACATTTATTTCATCTACCAGGGCTGACTCGGCGACAATCGTAAGTGGATCCACGGATGCTTATGGAGGCGACGTTTCAGATTCCTCTCGACTTATTCTTCATGAAGACTATGACAACGATCTTCTTGCCAACAATATTGGACTTATCAGACTCAGGACACCTTTAAATCTTGGTGGTAAGAATTACAAGAACTCCTCCTTTAGCAGTTGTTGTACAAAATACTTATGTAGGAAACACGATTGCCGTCAGTTTGTCTTCTGAAGAACTTGGTGAAAATGTTGGCATTACGGTGAGCGGTTGGGGTTTAACTAGCGATGGTTAGTACATTAAACACACTTTATTTTTTTTGTCAAAACAATTTTTCCCATTTCCATAGATGGAACTACAATCAGCGACTCGTTGAATTACGTTGAACTGGTCACCATTTCGAACACAGAATGTAAAAATTATTATGGCTCGATTCTACCTGAAATGGTTTGTGCTGATTCTCCCTCATCTCAAGTCAGAAGTACCTGCACCGTAAGTATATATATATATAAATTAATTTTTAAGGATGTTTTAACATAATGATTGTTTTTAGGGTGACAGTGGCGGCCCAGTGGTGATTAATGCAGGTTCAAATCCAGTTCACGTAGCAATAGCCAGTTTTGTTAGTACCGAAGGATGCGAAAGCGGTGCTCCTTCTGGATACACCAGGACGGCAGTTTACAGAGACTGGATCCAAAACCATACTGGACTTTAAAATTATAAATAGTTCTAAAAATCTGTTATTTTATCAATAAAAACAAAGGTTTATGAACAATTTACGTGCATTTTCCTATTTTCTTTTTATATACAGGGTGTCTCAGAATTAAGATGATGATAATAATAAACACTAAACAAAAAATACACAGTATACAAGGAACTTTCTTTCGACAGCCATTGTTATCGAACCTTACCTATCAAAATTATCAAATCTCGAGTGATTCCCTTAATTTGGGTGTTCGATAGAAGAATGACATCAAATTCTTTCTTCAACGGCGGCAATTTTTACTGAAAAAAACGGCGGTTGTTTCTGACGTCGTACATGATAGATACGCGGAACGAATCTAAAACTAACATTTTCATTTTCTTAGGTTATGAAGCGCCAAAAAAAAACCTCAAATCGTTGTAATCAAGTCATCATGTTTAACATCCAAAGCAAATTTCAGAAAAAAATCTTTTCAAATAAAATTATTCGACCGTTCCGGGACTTTATGCTAACTCTCTATATAACATACTATACAACCTAAAATTTTCTAAAAAGTTAATGTCTCACTATATTATTAAAGAAATACGAAGGCAGTCGAGATATAATCACTACATAGTATAAAACAACAAACATATCTGTGTGAGTAGTGAATGCGGACGGACGTGCTAAATTTCTTCTTCGATTGATTCGTTGTTTGAGCATAGCAGTTTCGGATTTTTCTATTGAGTGGCTGACTTGGCCCCTTGGAGGGTCGGTGAGTTGTTTTTTTTTTTTCTTGCTTTTGGGTGTAATTGCCTCGGATCAGAGTTGAAAAACTCCGATAAATTAGTCTACAATTAGCCATCGTTAATATCTTATCGCCTTTCTTTTTGTCTGAGTACTATCTGTAGTGCTATCACTGAGTGTTTTTCCTTCTTGTGCTACCTCCTCTTGGAGGTGGTTTATTATAACAAATTAATAATTTAATCACAATGGCAGTTAAATGTAACAAGTGTTCACGCACAATCGGGAGAAGCGATTTATATATTTCGTGTAAGCAGTGTAAATACAATTACCATCTACCATGTGGGCAATTAACCGATGAAATATATAATAAAATGCTAGAGGATAATTCACTTACTAAATGGAGCTGTACATTTTGCAAATTAAAAATTGTATCTTCTGATGCAGATTCCAATAACTTTGACAGCTCTCAAAATATAAACCTCCCGGTGGATAAGTTTAAACAATTGGTGCAATCAATTATTCGTGCTGAATTAAAATCTGCAATTACTAAAATAGACCTTATGGAATCACGCCTTCAAAATCTTACAACTGAAAATAGTCTTCTTCGTGGAGAAATAGAGAAATTAAACAAATTATGCCAAAGCAGACCAACTTCTGAGTGTAACTTGACTCCTACTGATGTCAGTACTAAAACTTCTTATGCTGACGCGATTGCAAAAAATTCGCAACAAACTGTAATTGTGAAGCCGAAAGACAAAGAACAACCTATTAATAAAACCAAATCAGATATCTTGTCTAAAATTAACCCCGTTGAATCTTCTTTAAACATAGGGAAGGTTAAAAATCTTAAAGAGGGAAGCGTGTTACTGGGTTGTGATGACGTCAGTAAATTTAAGCAACTTTCAGAGACTAATAAATTATACAATGATTATGATATTAAAGTAGTTAAAACCTTGCGTCCACGTATTCGAATTGCGGGAATCTCTGATAGTGTTGATGAAAATAACATCTTAAAATATCTGGTTAAGCAGAATGAAATAATTTTTGATAAAGACAGCGAATATAAGTTGATAAAATTCTCTAAGATAAAAAATAATGAAGACCGTTTCCAGGTATTAGTAGAAGTAGATGTTTCTACATACAAAAGAGCACTGAGCCTGGGTCACTGTCTCATAGGTCTAGATGGTTGCTCTATATACTCCGGTATTGGTGTTTCCCGATGCTTCCAGTGTAATGGCTTTAATCATTCTTCATCTAAGTGTAACAAAGAACTATCTTGTCCTAAGTGCTCTGACAAACATAAAATACAAGATTGTAAAGCAGAAAATTTGTGTTGTGGTAACTGTTTTAATCTAAAGCGTGATGCTAAAAGCCAAGATATTGATACAAATCATGCTGCTTGGGATTACAACAGCTGTCATGCTTATAATCTAGCGGTTAACAAAATCAAGCAAGATGTCTTTGGTCTCCCCATATAGCAATCCACATCGTTTGTGGCCTCGGACAAGAATATTACTACTGTAAATACCCTCCCAGTCTATAATCAGGTGTCCTCAATTAGCACTCTTTCCTCTTCATTAAATTTTAGCTGTATTAATAGTTCTTCAAATAGTATTTCTCATTCTAATATACTGATTTACTATCAAAATGTTAGAGGACTAAACACCAAATTAATACAACTGCGGAATTCCATACTTTGTTGTCCCTATGATTTTATTTGTCTATCTGAAACTTGGCTCAGCTCTTCTGTCTTAGACGCTGAATTTTGTCCAAACCATCTTCAAGTGATAAGGACAGATAGAAATATGCATAAAATGACTGTAACCAAAGGTGGAGGTGTATTACTTGCATGTCGTCGAGAGTTTGCATTACAACCCATTGACCTTACATCTAAGGATTATAATTCACTGCGGTATAGTGAATTGCTTGCTGTTAAATGCTCTATAAATTATTTCAATATTTACGTTGTAGTAATATATGTACAACCGAAGGCAACTATTGAGGAATTTGAACTGATATTTCACATATTAGCCAATATAACTGAATCAAATAATCATAATGTTCTCATAGTAGGTGATTTTAATCTACCAGATTACAGTTCAAATTTGTCGCTTCCTGTGACAAGTAACAGAAAAATTTCATCCCTGTTCAATTTTCTCAATTTCTGCAACTACAAACAGTACAATAACGTTAATAATATTAATGAACGTTGTCTTGACTTGGTTATTGGTAGTTTTTATTGTTCTGTTGATAAGTGTGATGACTCTTTAGTGGATGAGGATGTTCACCATCCCTCTCTGATTATCTCAAAAACTCAGCGTGGCAAAAAAACCAACTCAATTATTCACAGTGGAATAGTTAATGCCCACTGGAACTTTCGACAAGCTGATTACCCAAATTTGTATAAAGAGATAATGAAAATCAACTGGACTGAACTTAACAGCATTAGTGATATTAATATTGCTTCTGGTATATTTTACGATAAACTAAATAATGCACTCAACTTACATGTTCCCAAAACTCGTCGTTCCCTTAAAATATGCTTTCCGCCTTGGTTTACTCCAGTCAATATAAAGAAATTGAAACTTAAAAACACCCTACACCGTAAGCTTAAATCAACTATCAATGAAACTGAGATACATAGCAAGTTTAAAAAGATACGGTCTGAGATAAAACGTGACATCGACTTAGAATACAAACGATATATAACTAACGTTGAGGTGAATATTAAATCTGATCCCAGTAAATTTTGGTTCCATGTAAACAACCTTAGTAGGCATACGGGTATACCTTCGCAGCTGAGCTACTCAAATAAACTTCTTAACAAACCTGATGATATTGTCAATGCATTTGCAGAATATTTTTCCAGTAATTATAATAATTGCACCGTGAATAACGCTGACGACTTTGCTGATTATCAAATGTTAAATCCAATAATAAATCTAAACACTATCTCGGAATCAGATGTTCTAAACGCTCTGAAAAAGATCAAACCTAATATGTGTTCAGGACATGACAATATTCCAGGCTTTATTCTGACAGATTGTGCCTGTATACTAACTCCACCTCTAACAATTCTTTTTAATTTGATTCTAAGAACCTGTAAATTTCCTGAAATATGGAAACTATCAATAGTATCTCCAATTTTTAAAACTGGCGAAAGAAATGTAATTGAAAATTACAGGCCCATATCATTAATTTGTAATTTTTCAAAAGTTTTTGAAATAATATTACACAAGCATCTTCTTTTTAATTTCAGAAATGTAATTAGTGAATATCAACATGGGTTTGTCAACGGTCGATCCACGGTTACAAATTTATGCACATTTACTCAATTTGCAGCTGACTCACTTGATTCCAAGCTCCAGGTAGATGTAGTATACACTGATTATTCTAAGGCATTTGATAAATTAAATCATGTAATTCTATTGGCAAAATTAAGTAATATTGGTCTCTCTGTTTCATTAGTTAATTTAATTGAATCATATCTATCTAATAGGTTACAGTGCGTTACATATTATGGACACGAGTCGATAAAAAGACCTGTTCCCTCGGGGGTGCCTCAGGGCTCCGTGCTGGGCCCTCTTCTGTTTATTGTTTACATTAACGACATTGTTAAGAACATAAAATCTAACGTTTTAATATATGCTGATGATCTTAAGATTTATAAAGACGTCTCAACCATAGAGGACTGCATCTTGTTGCAAAATGATTTAAATAGGTTTCATGAATTTAGTTTGTCTAACTTACTCCCAGTGAACTATAAGAAATGTCACATAATGACCATTACCAATAAGTGCACACAAATTCAATTCGACTATAAATTAAACAACATGAGTCTTGCTAGAGTGGATACATTTAAAGATCTAGGTGGAACATATATGTAATAGTGCTTTCAGGTCACTTGGTTTTATTATAAGGTGTGGTAGAGATTTTACACAGGTTGATAGCTTGCGACTGCTGTACTTTGCTTACTTTCGCTCAAAGCTCGAGTATGCATGTATTGTTTGGGCTCCTTTCACACAAAATCGTATTAACCATCTGGAAAACATACAACGACGTTTTTTAAAATACACAGCATTTAAGGAGGATGGTGTTTATCCAGTCAGAGGTATTCCTCACTCTGTCTTGTTAGAACGATTTAAAGTAGAAGCCTTAAGTACTAGACGGTGTATCGCCTCGTTCAAATTTCTTCGTAATGTGATAAATTTTCACGTTGATTGCACTGATCTTCTTGGTAAGATATTCATCTTGGTACCTAGAATGTCATCTCGATCTAATCAATGTTTTTATCTTCCAACTCCTCGTCTAAATATCGAAAAACACTCTCCAGTCTATGAAATGTGTC